TGACATATAATTCTTACTTCACTGTTCAGTAAATTCTTAATGTGATGGATGGGCTTGATGAAGTGATACCAGATTCCCAATGTTCAGAAGTTCAGAAATTGGTATTGAACTTTGTTTAAACCAAGTTAATGGCCTTTTAGGCTTCCTCCACATGAATAGAGTTCACTTTTGAGTAAAGTAAGAATTATATGTCACAGGGGAGGCATCAGGATTTTAGAGATACTTAGGTGGGGCATGGCCAAAAAAAGATTGGGAACCACTGTTCTAGAATAAAGGCACTACCAAGATAGTCATTGTGCCTTGCACTGAAAACCTCTCATTAAATCTCAGATAACTTTGCTTGTGATGATGATCACTTGTTAGTCACACAGATTATTTGCTCGCCTCATATGTTCCTTGAAGTAGATTGAAATAGGAGAGCAATCCGATTCCCCCTATAAAAATATATTAGATGTGTCCTAAAGCTCCTTTTGGAAGCTTGAAAATCATTGAAATTTTGAAGAATGTGAATGTCATGTCCCCATTCTGTATCTCAGTTTGAGCAATACCCAAATTGAATACAAATATGTGGAGAGGGAAGGGTACATCTTGTAGAGAGGGTAAGGTACTTTCAAGAAATGTTGGGGGGGAATGTTGCAAATAGTCCTGCTAATCAATGTAGAGATTTTATTTGAAATTTCATCATATAGACAGACATATGGTTGGGTTGTACAAAGCTTGGAAGCTTCAATTTGATGAAAACTTGATTGAATTTCCCCTTCAAAGCAAGAACCTGCTTGAAGTTCCAAAACTAACTGAAGCGCTTGTAGCATTTTGAAAGTTTCAAAATTTAATGAGGTGTTTGTTTGTTTTTTGCAACTTCTAGAATTGTTACGACAATGTATAATATTTTACAATTCATTTCCATATGTTGAAAAACCAAAAGAACATTGAGTGGCATAATGTCTTACTACAACTGAACCAAACAGCAGGGCAGAAGTATTTATCCATTCTTTCACAACTCACTTATCAGTGCACATTTGCTATGGCAGGTTTTGCTAACATAGTTATGGATTTCATTCAATTGCTGTCCTTAATGGGACAGCCAGAACCATTAACTTTTCTTTCCCTTGTGTTAATACCCAAGACCTTATGTATTGATCCCACCAATGCTAACATCTGTTCAACATGTTGCAGAAAATGACAGGACTTAGATGTCTCGGGATTAAGGAGAAGTTTATTCACAGCCAGGTTCAGAAAACTAGTCAAAGGCTAGCATGCAACAACCCTTATCATTGAAGCACACATTCTTATACATTCTCAAAAGCAGCGTAACACGGAAACACTTAACCCATTTCTTATTGGTTATCTTGCGGAAAGAAGCCTTATAAGTAGATAATGTCTTACTTCTCCTTTTGTCTTGCGCCACAGATACTGCTAAGTGGCTCTGTAAGAATTTTAGCTGAGCTCTGTGGTTTTGGGCTTTTGACATTTCCTGTTTTTGTACATGTCTTACCAGCAGGCTTTTATCTCTTCCTTCTGCTATGTCTCATTTTTATATTTTAATTCACATTTTATCCTGCTTTATCTCCCCCTTCTAGACTCTATCTTTAGCTACAATTGAGTCTAGCTTATTACAGAGTTTTTGACTAACAATGCAAGGATACAGAATAATAATACATAACAGCAAGAAAGAAGAGAAACAAGTAATACATATAGAATAATTCTTAGAGCTTATCCTCCAAAGGCACTCTTTCCACTCCCAAGGGTGCAAGTTGAACATATGTGCCAGTGTCTGAAATTTCATCTTCATCATAGGGATGTGGGGCAATCCTACCGTCAATAAGGATTTCCACCAAAACTAATTCCTTTGGTGGGGGGGAGGAGTCAACGTCATGATGATACGGACATGCAGTCTCGATGCTCTGAGACCACAGCTGATAATTTTGCCACTGGGTGGTCCAATCAGACCTAAACAGCCGCACAGAGACGGTGAACAGGAAGAATATGTCTTGCTGATCTCAGGGACATCGCAAAGTCCGTGATGGATCCAAGAGAAGTTCTTCAAGCCAGCGACAAAAATTTCAGCCATTAGGCTGATGAAGTTGGAGGGGGAGTCCAAAAT